TACAAAGAAGCTGGAGATGGAATCTTCAGCAGGAACTGTAGTGATAGCACAACAGGGAACAGCTTCAAATTGAAACATAGTGGGTATTAGGATATTAAGAAAAAATTATCTACTGTGAGGGTGGTGAGGAATAGGTTGCTCAGAGAAGCTGTGGATGCCCCAACCTGGAAGTGTCCAGAGCCAGTTCGAAAGGGACTTTGAGCAACCTAGTCCAGTGGGAGGTGATCCTGCTCATGGCATGGAGGTTGGAGCTAGATGATATTTAAGATACCTTTCTACCCAACCCATTCTATGGTTCTATAAATTGATCACTAAGCTAAAAAAACTCCCAGTGATCACTGAGATACAAACAGTTGCAATCTAACTACACTACTCACATGGAGATAAAATGGAGTTGATAGGGTACAACAAGAAGTCTACCAAATACACATTCATGTGATTACAGTCAAGATATCCAGTTAGGATGTGTCAGAAGAAAGCCTTCTAACTCCTTAGTTAACTCCCTTTTTTTGAGTGAAAAATTTAATGACACAGTGATCTTTTCCAGAAGGATCCAACTCAGAATCAGGATAAAGGGCACACAGTTTAATTTACATCTTTATTGTTCGTTACATGACATTAGCAATTTTTTGTTGATCACTGGTGAAATTCTGCTCAATCAAGAGAATTCTGAATTTCTTTATATACTTTTCCCCAAAGTTCATATCCAAATATTTGAACATACTCCTTAACCTCAAAAAAACCACTTAATATTTAAAAGGAAATTTTATTCTGAATTTTTAAATTTTCTGCAGAAGCAGTGAAATACGAATCCATTGATTCTGGATATCTGACACCACAGAGTCCAGATATATACCTTTAATTTGAGTTTTCAGAGTTGTTACTAAATATTTTATGTTTATTGGATTGTATTCCTTCAACATTATCACAGAAACAAAATCCACAAATTGTTTTTTGGGGGCCTATGCTGGACAGATGTTAAATATAAAAAACCCCCGAACTATACAAAAGCAAATAGTCTTATTATTTAAATGAACCTTTACGTAAGCAAGGACCAGCAGCAGTTAAGAGTATAATGGCCTGTACTTAGAATAATTGAAGGAAATTTTTCCAGGGTTGGATTAATGCCCCTGGAGAACAAGCTATTGTATCTGTGGATGATTCTGGAGAATTTCTCCTTCATTGAAGCAGATAAGAACAGTAAAAAAGTCAGAAGTAGATGAACAGAGGCTCAAGAACAGCCATCCTGGATTCTTGTGTGCCTTTGTCTTGACTGTAGAGTAGACATTTGTCTATGTCTTTTGATTAAACTCAGAGAAGAGTTTAAGAATATCTGGGGATGTTATTGCAGAAATTCAGGAGAGCTTTTTCTAAGAAGACCAAAGGGGTTACACTTGGCAAGTCACATTCTTTCTCTTGCTTAGTACCCAGATCACCTTTAAACCCTAAAAAATGTCATAGCATATTACCTGGCTAAATGAGTTGAAACTCTTAAATTCTTCCCAGAAAGACACAGCAGGCGATCACCCACTTTCCTAAAGTTTTCTCAATATGCAGTACCACAGACTTTTGTGCCTATCTACATGAAGCATGTCTTAACACATTTCAATGGTATTTGCTTACAATTCAGCTACAACTTTCCTTTTGAACCTATTTTGGCACAGATGCCTCAGGTTTTTTCTAATGCCTGACAGGAATAGGAATCTGACTGAGAGCCTTTTAGGCTTCAGTCTGATTAATCAGAAAGGACCTGCCAAAGTGAAATATTTTGAAGGACAGGTATAGATCTGTTCTTGAAGCCTCCTGTATCCCAGTAATCTACAATCTCAGCTTTGTTGTTGTTCTCCTTGCTCCTTGATATGCACACAACAGTTGTCAGGATTCTCTTTCAGCTCTTAGCAGAGAAAAGATTTTTACCATCTACTTCAACTACGTGTTTGACTATGAGAATAGTTCATTAATTGTACCTCTGGAAAAATTGCCATTCATTTGGAGGGATGCCAGCTTCTAGACTGAGCTAGACTGACAGTCTGCTCTTTATTTACCAGGTAGGGGAAGAAGAGGCTATTACATGTGCTTTGTATTCTTTGTTGCATATTAAATCATTCCTGGGTGGTATCCACGATCTATAAAGCACTAAGCAGTGTGGTCACAGCTATCTCTGGCACCATCTGTTTGACCACTTGTAAAAGTAACAGACTGCACAGAAGCTGAAAAAGAGGCATGACTAGCATGAGTCTGGGAAAAACTATATCTAGATTCAAAATTAAACCAGCTATTCAAAATTTCATCATAGTGAGTCAGGCATGCTGCAGTTACCCTCTGAAGCCTCATAGGATGGTTTTCCCTTGCCTCTGACAGACATGACTGTCTGCTTCTTCCATAACTAAAATTTTTGCAGATAGTCTCATTAAAATAAAAATTTCCAACAAAGAACAGAAAATTTAGCTCCTGAGTCTGCCCAGCTGATTTTCTACCCTAGAAAATGAAGAACAGAGATTCAGGCCATATTCTGATATATGATTACCTATTTATCTGCTTAATTTTTTTTGCACTGAATTATTTGTGACAACTGTGATAACTTTCATTCAAATTTTTAGAAAATCTACAAAGTCCTGTAGATGAAAAAATGATTCTTGAACTAAAACTGGTGATTCCCAATTATTATGTTTGGATAATAAGCTACTAATACATTTAATATATTCTATATTAATAATTACAACTAATCCTATAAAAGCATTTACAAGACATCTTTGATGTGGTCTTTTTTCCTTGAAATTATCATGATTTGTATTACATTAAAAAAAAAAATTAACCAATGAGTTGTATATCTGTCTCATGTTTGATAGTACCTAACAACTACAGCTATAAAGGAAAAGCCCATTTTCCATTTTAAGTACTGGACCTAATTAACTTCTTTACATTTTTAGGAACTTTCCTAATAGTCCAAGAATTGTTAAAAGTTAATGAGAATGTTTCAGAAAGCTTCCTAAGCAATAAAGGATTCCTTTGAACAAATTAATAATTTCTATAATTGTACCACAAGTATTGAATTATAAAAGCTTTGGATAAAAACAATACTAATAAGAGAAGAACAGAAAAAAATCCCTGTTAATAGTTGGAATATAATTTGTAGTTTTAAAAAAGATAACCTTTATCTGTATTGTTATACTGTTCCTTGTTTCAATTTTTCATACATTTTTGTACATTCTTCTCGTTTCCAAAATGAGTGAGAAACTAAACAAAACTTGAGACCAGCCTTCAGATGTGTTGACAGACTATTGCTCACATGAGAAAAAAATCCAGCTGTTCCCTGGCTGGATCCATTGGATGCCTAAGTTATTTTCTTCTCATAGGCTAATTGGAAACCTTTCTTGGATGATCAAAATCCCAAGTATGTGCCTTAATCAGTTCTGAAATAGTAATTTTGTAATTTCAAGGAATTATAAAACGGGCAGATGTCTCCTATGTTCTTATTCATCTAAAAGTACTTTAACTTATGGTAAAACCATTGTTGTTAAATAGTATCTGATATGAAACTGAAAACATAAAGAAATTCAATTTGAATGGTTGGAAATAAAAATCAGTATAAAATCAGCTATCCTGCTGCTCCAGATTAGTTCAGAAGATACATGCTGGACCTCCCCATGATCCCAAATCATATCTTTAATGTGCAGTGGGAATGTGCCAAACTTCCTCCTCTGTCAGATGTTCTAGAAGGGTATATGTAGCTGCCTTAGTCATAATGCATAAGAGCTCCTTCAGACTTCTGGGAATAAGTACCTCTTGTAAAAATTTTCTCATGATTTTTGCATGTGGCTGTAAACACTGCTATTATGAAAAAAGGGGAGTGGGAGGGAGGAAGAGGAAGCAATCAATATTTATCACTAGTGTTGAGCAAGAATTCCTAAATTATATTATCATGAGATGACGTCTGCAAAGTTTTAGTGGGTTGAAATGCTTCCGGGAACAAGAGTTAATAGCATTAGTTATAGTTGTGAAGGCAAGAGCAATCCTGACCATTGCTTCCATAATTTAGAATGAGTAACAGATCCCCTCAAGTGCATTGCTGTTCATTAATAATAATGCTCATACAGCAGATGATTTCTGTTAAAGAATGAGCCTTTGTAACTTGGTCAGCAGGATTATGTTTAAAGCATGGCCTGAAAACAAAGGGAGTGTTTCTCTCTCATGCATTGTCTGAAAAGAATTTGCCATCTTACTACTATTCTCACGAGACGGTCCAAATGCAATCATCTCCAATTTTATCTCAGCCTCAGATTAGGAATAAAACCATGAATTGCATTCTATAATGCGCAGAAACGACTGCAACATGAATCACCATTTCTGCAAAAAAACTCTCCCAGCAAGCACCTCATCCTGGCTGCAAATGGCCCCTGACAAATCCCTGCGGCTGCATTTGTGGTCTGTGCTGCTGAGACCATTCCCTGGAGGTGCAGCTCAGGCTGAGAGGATGCAGCAGGCTTGGTGAGTTGTGCTTTGAAGCGTGACGCCTCCAAGGGATGGGGTCAGCAGTTTGCGTCCTCTGCACGCTGAGGGACTGACTCCTCAAGCAACTTTTAGCAAGCAGTTGCAGAATGTCAAAAGTGAGTCTTAAGAGAGCAACAACACTAACTTGAAAGACCTTAACAGCAAAAATCTTCTCTAAATTCCCCTTCAGATTCGGTTTTCAGAAACAACTGTATTAAGGAGTGGATGATTAGCTGACCAGTAGGGTTTTTCAAACAGCTGCTGGTTGTTAAAGATCAGTAGTTTCCATAAATATGTGCACTGCTGCCAAGAAAAATTCTTGGAAATACCTCACAGAACTCAAGGTTCAGAACAGAGTATTTTTAAAAGCTAACAAAAACTTATTAAGTACCTTGCTGCATCTTCTAAACAGTTCATTGTACATATTTAAAACATCCTGAAACAAATGTAACTGACACACAAGTTTGAAATGGTATACATAATTATAATGAAAATTGTTTGTAACCTACCTTGGAATTGTGTAAATTTGATGGTTCCCATCCTCTCTCCATTTCTGAAAACAACTTGACCCTAAATAAAATAAATAAATACCTTAAAAGTTTTATAAATCTCTCATAATATAGTTTCATTAACACTGTAATTTTCTATTAACTATTAAAATTACCAAAACAATGTTTAAACTCTGAAGATTGTAGATAGTAGATTCAACCAAGGGAAAAATAACTCAATACCTCCTTCAAGCTTTCTTCCACAGATTTCAAATGACCTTAGAAATTTGACTGGTGTTACCACCCACTTTTCATGGATGGAAATGGAAGTACAATAAAACCAGTAACTTATTGAATCTCAGATGATGAGAGATATGCAAACAATCGATTTTCACGGTTTGACTGTTTTTATCAAGGATATTTGAATTTATCCAAGATCATGCAAGAAAATCATTCTCGATTTCATTCATCATACAGTTCTCCAAAGCTATTTATCATATCTCATATACTTATCCTACTGGACTATGGATATCAGTAGCTCTTGTGGCTTGGTTTTGTACTATGCCAATACTTCTATCTTAGTATTCATTTTAGCTGTAATGTCTTTAAGTCAGTACTACTGTTTGTGGTGTTACACATTGTTATTCTCATTATAATGGTCATGTATTGCTGAAACCTCCTCACAGATCCCTAGGAAATTACTCCCATCTTTCATCACATCTTTCTGGAGTAAATTAAGAAAAGATCTCGTTAAATTTCCTCTTTAGTTCAGCTGTTACATAATTAAGTATGAAAGAAGAGGGTTTCATTCATTTATGCTAAGGAGTATTTTTAATATTTTGAACCTGTAGTGGAGGGCTGAGTGCTGTCGAGATGGATTGCTGTTCTACTGCATCCCTGGTTTGGTTTATTAATATCATCTCCATTAATCTTTGTTTTGGCAGACATGAGGGTAAAAAAAAACCAAACGGCAAACATGTAAGGCTACAATACATTTCTCTGTGTGAGCCTGTCCCGTCTTGGATAATCTGTTCTGGTCACTGAAGGCCTTTGAATTACTGAAATTAGCTCCCCGCAGGAACAGTACAACAGTTTGGTAGTACAGCACACATACCTCCCATTTCCTGCAAGCCACAGAACACCATTTCCTTTGATAAATAGAAGAAGGCACCCTTAAATAAGTGTAAGCTACCTTGTGCTAAGCCTTAAAAGCCAAAAGCCCCAATCTGTAGCTAAAAGGGAGCAAGAGAAACAAACGCTGGTAATGGCAGGGATTCTGGTGACAGCTGCCAAAGGACACAGTAACTGCACCTACTGAAATCCAGTTGAGATAAATCTCATCTAATGGCTGTTAAGACAGCTCCAGAAGAGAACATAAAACATAAGTAGGCAGATTTATGCATGTGTCTTATCAGCCTTTCTCCTTTAGTTAGGAGAAATACTTTTTAATATCCCTTAGTTGGTTTGAACATAATCATAACACATTTGGCTTGTTGGCTCAAGTAAAAAGTAGTAGAAAATATTAAAGAAAAGACTTTTAAAGATGCTATGCAAGTTTCACCTATTGCTGACATATATTTATGATCAATCCAATCTTAACTTTGGTTCTGTGACCTGTGTTGGAGAATGCTGTAGTTAAATTTTTCAATATGTGGAAAGATTAGGTTTTTATTTGATTTTAAATTTACTGCCTTCTACTTTAACTGTATCTCCTCTTATTCATTTATTACAAGTTAATAGGACTGTAGGTAAGAGTCTACTAGAGAGCTCTTTATAGATAAACATACAGCAAGCATCACTGACATCATCTATGGTGACAGTCCTCTACAATTTTCTTCTATTATTGATAGTATAGTATTGTATATAGGCTCAAGAAATGTTCTAGATTCCAAGTGCAACTTCTTGAAGTATTATCATTGCTTCTTGTAAATCACCCACATTTTCATCATTAATACAGACATACACCATATGCATCTACTGACGAGAGATAAATACATACATCCTCGTTGGCGTGTTCTGAAACTATCAACAGAATATAAATCAAGTCTGAATAAATGCAAAATTTGGGATTAAAAACATAAACAAAGTTATAGATTCAGAAGTACTAGCAATTTCCCTTTGCTAGGATTTATGGCTTATACTGATCTAAGCAATAGATAAATAAAAATATGGATGATGATGATGATAAGAGTCATGGAACAACTCATGCAAAAATGTCCTAGTTTTCTGCAAAATCATTCAATCAGTGGTTTACTTTAATGAAAATTAAAGATTACTGGAAAATCCTGAAAAGTCAAAAGGGTTATTATAAGGAATAACAGTTTCTGAATACTATCTTATGAGGTGACATTTTCGAGACTATTGTTTACAAACTACAGAGTTTGTATGTTACACATACAGATACTCAGCAGGAAAAAAACTGGATAAATTAAAATGGGCTATTTATTCCATGTGTAATCCAATTACTAAATCTGTTTTCAAAGGTCAAACCAATAAAAAAAATAACAGCAATAATCTTCAAAGCAGGATTCTCTACTGAAATCTCTAATGATGACAGTTCATACTTATTACCCAGGCATCAAAAGTGGAACCACAGCTGCAGTTACCATTTGGTTCTTTCCTCCTAAGGAACATGCTGCTTCATACCAACGTGACAATTAGCTACTGTGCCTCAAGTACCTTCAACCCCTAAGGTTCTAAAGAAGAACTTTAAGGTTTCCTTTAGGAAAGGAAACATTCCTAGATTTTTACTGGGGTTTTAGGTAGTCCCAGCAGACACAGACATGGTGTTGCTGCTTCCCTATTTGGTGTGGTTCTGCCAATGCGGTTGAAATGAGTGTTCCTCATGAACAGTGAGAAACTTTAAAAAGAGCAATATCTTCATTTCTTCAAACAGGAATAGGAGGAAAATTAATGACAGTCATCCATTGCTCTATGCTTTCCCTGCTATTTAATGTAAAGTAAAACAATTACACCTGAGGTAAAAAAAGTGCTATAAATATACAGTAAAATGTTGTAGAATTTAATATAATAAACTACTGCAATGTTAGACTAAATAAGCCACCAGTGTTTCAGAAATATGTTTTTTAGAAATAATTGTGCTGATTTATGGCATGGGAAGTGAGTTATAATCTATGTTCTGTGGCTCACATCCAGCCTTTTCTTTGCCACAGAGGTAACCTACCATAAGACTTAGCTAGAGAATTATCTTCTTTAGACTTGAGATTCATAAATTAATAAAAATGTTTTTCCTTTATTTAAAGAAGCGGATGTTTGAATAATAGATATTACTAATATACACATTAAGTTCTGACATTACAAAAGCCAGTCTTAGTACTATTTTGTCCTCCAGTGCCAGTATAGACTGTAGCCTATGGTGTGACCTGTCACAAAATCTAAATCTTATGAAATCCACATGACTATAACAACAGACAAAACTCTCTTTTACATTTCATTGTTTTTTGGTGATATTACATAGGCATATTTAGATACTTATTAGCAAAAGGATCAGTGGTTGTATAGAAGAGAAACCGTATTAAAGAAAATAATGGAAGTGATGTTAATGCTAACTTCTTTACAACATGATCATCAGATTAAAAAAAATATTTCCCAATCAAGTAAATATTTTATTTCAAGAGATATAAAATAAGACCTCTGTCCTGAACTGGCATTTAAATGAACTGCAAAACTGAATAACTTGCACTTAGACCAAATCACATATTTGACTATATATTAAATAGTTAATCAGCAAAGCTTTCCCCTTCCATTACACACAGATCATCCTGATGGAGACCAACAGAAACCACACTGGTATCCTAGTGCCTATTTTATTTTCTTCAATCTACCACCTACAATTTTTTTTTTCTTTCTTTACTAGTTGTAAAAGTCAATGCCAGAGTAAATACCAGTTTTATAATGAATCTGCCCAACTTTTAGCTGTGGACAGGCATGTTTACCTCAGCAATGACCCTTGAAAAGTTGATAGGAAGGATATAGAAAGTATGTGGCTTGGAGGCCAATAGCAGCAATGTGAACAGAGGATAGAAGAGGAGTTGCATGAGCTCATTCTGGCACAGTGTGGCACCCCGGTGTGTACAGCCACCGCTGCACACAGTGTCCTAGTTTTTTTGGCCCAAATATATTCCCATATTTGGGATTCACTGCAGCTGTGTAACTCATCTTGCAGCCTTATGCACGTGTACTTTATTCAGTTTGGCTAAATGTACAACCACCCCATACGCATAAACAATTCTAGCCTCACATGGCAAGTTAGGTGGCTTGGACAAGAGAAATATAGAAGCTTATGTTGTAGCTTGTTTTGTTTTGTTTGTTGTTTGGGTATTTTTTTATACATCTCTGAGTCCAGCTGCTTTTCCTGTAATTGTTTGGCGCTTTTGTTTTGTTTTGTTTTGTTTTCTCCCCAAAAAGCTACAGTTCTTGAATGTCCTTTACAAATTATGAAAACCAGAACCAAACATTTCATCAGAGTCAGTCTCACAATTGCCACATACAAGGACATCATCTCCCTGGTTCTTCTGAGTAACATCATCTTCTTCTATTTTACAAGTCTAACATTGATTTACATAGTTATACAGAACAACTGTTTCATCTGTTAACAGAAAGGCAGTCTCTACCCTCCCTGAATGTATAATCTTAACTTTTATCTTGAATTTATATTCTTTAAGTAAATAGTCCTTTATTTGTGGTCAGAATAATCCACATAATCTATTACAAATTACAAATTATTAGCTGACATTAGCTTTATTGCAGACACATTGGACTTCCCCATCTTATACCAGTTAGTTATTTGTCTACACTTGGAAGCAGCAATTTATTATACTTCTATATTTTTTTCCTGGTGGACAAAATGTAGATATCTTTGCTATATTATTAACATGTCATTAAGCTTTTTTTGAGCTATAGAATACTAGCACTGTCAACCACCTAAATACATGCATGCAGAAATACCTGAAAAGCAATGGGATAACTATGACAACTGAATATTAGTATACAATTTTATATATATTTATATATACTATTTATTTTATATACTATTTATATAATGTATAATCATTTGCTTAA